TCTATCTGTCTATCTGTCATCTATCTTCTATCCATCTATCTATCTATCTATCGGTCTATCTGTCTGTCTGTCTGTCATCTATATCTATCTATCTATCTATCTGTCTATCTGTCATCTATCTTCTATCTATCTATCTATCTATCCATCTATCCAACACTACCAGGCAAAAGTTTTTGAACAGTAAGATTTATTTTTTATTTTTTTAAAGAATTCTCTTCTGCTTACCAAGCCAGCAAAATCAGTAATATTGTGAAATATTTTTGCTATTTAAAATAACTGTTTTCTATGTGAATATCTGTTAAACTGTAATTTATTTCTATGATCAAAGCTGAATTTTCAGCATCATTACTCCAGTCTTCAGTGTCACAAAAAAATTATACTGGCTACAAGCTTTTGACTGGTATAGTGTATAATGTTACAAAATATTTTATTTCAGATAAATGCTGATCTTTGGATATTTCTATTCAATAATAAATGTTTTTTTGAGCAGCAAATCAGCATATTAGAATCATTGTCGTTTGAATATGCTGTAATTTAACAAGATATGTTTTTTTTTCTTTAATTAAATTTATGCATTTAGCAGACGCTTTTATCCAAAGCGACTTAATAGAAGCACATATGCTCTGGTCAAGCTCAGGTAGCCTACTTTATTTATAACAATGATGCTACCAAGAATTTCACTTATGCATCAATTTCCATCTGCATTAGACACAAATGAGCACACAAATGGTGTACGTAAACAGGTTTGAGTGAATGGCGACCATCTCAACATCAGTCACGATCACAGAACACTACAACAAAACACACACATTCCCCAGACTGCTTTATTTATCAAACCCCACAAAATCATTACAACGAGCAAAGACACAGTGTTAAAGGACTTATGGCACATAAAAATCACATCTAAGAAGTCCTGAGTCACATCGATCAAGCATTCAAGTTTCCCAGAAAGCACACTTACATCTGCAAGATGTCTGTTAAAGATCATCTGGAAAGCATCTGCTGTGTAAACATCTGATAGACGTCTTTAAGATGTCAGTGTTACATTCATTCTAAATCATAAACATCTTAAAGACATCTTCTAAACGTCTATTTGACATCTGATAGGAAACGTCTTCTAGATGTATTGCAGATGAGCAAACGCTCTAAAAAATACGTCTTGCAGACGTCAAATAGACGTCTCTGTGATGTACGTGTGCTATCAGGGTTGCTTTTTTAGAAAATACAAGAGTAGAAAGAAAATACCAAATCCCGGAGACCTGAGACGGTTTCTTTTTTTAGGATAATGACAGATTTCAGCATGAATTTGGTGAGATGATAGCAGGAAAAACTCTAGTTCGTGATGAAACCCGGCATTCTTTCTGGATGAGCAGATCGCTAGTAAACACCGGCTTCTTTACGACTGTGATATCGTACAGTGGGGCTTGGAAACGTTACGAAAACTGCAGAATATTTTACAAGTGTCTTTCTGGCAGAGAAATAATGATAACGTATTCTGCAAAGCATCCACGAGACGATGAATGAGACAAGAATGCCAGGCCTGCGCTTTCATCGTGGCCTATAATTCACTTTGTTATAAAAGGCGGCTGATGTGTTTATCTGTCGACGTCGTAAAAGTGTTGGGACAACTCTAAATCCTGTTTCATGGCCGCATGCCCGTGTCTCTGAGCTTTAAATCTTCATTTTCTCGCAATTCTGACTTTTTTTTTAAATTCTGATGTAAATTTTCTCATTTTTCTTTTATAAACTCTCAATTATGAGAAAAAAGTAATTGCGAAATATAAACTCAGAATTCTGACTTTCTTGCAATTAAATTTTTTTTCTTCCACAAACTAAAAAGTTAATTCCAAATTTGTATCTTGAATTTGACTTTTTATTCTCGCAAATTGCGAGTTTATATCTCAAAATTGTTTCTCAGAATCGCGAGTTCATATTTTGCAATGTTCATATATTGCAATTCTGAGTTTATGTCTCACAATTGTCAGATTTACTTTTTTTTCTCATAATTGCGAAGAAAAAAAGTCTTGAATTGTGAGATAAGAGGTCGCATACCTTTTTTTATCCTCTAGTCCAATTCACGCACTTTCCATCCTAAATTGTTTACATAATTAGAATGAGTGTCCCAAATCATCGTACAATTGATTCAGCTAATGTTACCCACAATTCATTGCGCTGGATGAGTTTATGATTTTCGAGGAAAGCGTGAGGAACGAAGCTGCCACCACAGCAGGCTTTAAATGTATGAAGCTAAAAGTTAAGTAACCTAATAATTAATTATAAGGTAATATAGCTTGATGCTAACACTACGCAAATGCAACAAGCTAGTGGGGTCAAGGTAGCATATGCACCAATACTGGTGTGCCGTTCAATTACACGGGTGTTGGCAAACTTCTGATTGGACGTCACATTGAGGAAGGACGTCCAATCAGCACCTGAGGATTGTGAAACCACGGCATGCTTGAATCGACTAGCATACTACTCTATTTCTGCATTATGTAAAGATTGCATAGTCTGCAAATGTTCTGGAATACCTGGATGACCTGCAATACTATATCCCACAATGCACTGCGCTCCAACTGACCTTCTATTTCCTGTAACGGCAACCAAACAAACCAAATTATATCAGCAGTGATTGTCAACATCAACCTCTGTTTTTTTAGGTTATCACATAAAAAGTCAACATGCACTACATACTAAGTATGCAGATGACTAGTATTCCATTCCAAACAATTTTCCGGCTTACGGAGAACATTTCCAGAACATTCTATCAAGATTCTCTCAAAGTTACAAACAAATGTTCTTCCAGTAACATTAACAGAACGTTTGTTCAAAGTTATCTGGACTTTAATGGCATTCTCAAAACGTTGGCACTTAAACATTGTTCATGAAATGTATTTTCGGAAACATTTTAATTGGGCGTTCATCGAATGTTTTTTTTAAGCGTCACAGCTTACTAGTTTCAGAGAACTTTCAAAAAATAATTTCCAAAATGTTCGCGATGGCACGTTCCCTTAATGTTTTCTCTACGCTTCAAATAATCAAGAAAAGAAAAAGAAAATACATTTTAATGTTAGCAAAACTTTTTAGAACATATTTTTTATCATCTGGGAACTGCAGGGCAAACGAACGCAAAAACTACTTAATAAATCCATAAAAACAATTTTTTTTCACTTCAATTACTCAATAAAAGCACTTCACTATGGCTTGTTTCACACATCACATCTGCGCAGTCGCCGGATATTTATTCCAAATGCAGTTCAAATGCTCTATAAATCTATTTATGAACACGATGCTCTTAGGCAACACGAAGTAACAAATCATCATTCAGTGTTTAAAAACAGGCTTTTTATGGGGCTTGATGAACGTTAAACGCGATTAACACTTACGGTTCAGTCATTCTGAATGGATCCAGATGATTTATATAGTTTACAGCTACATTTTGAGGTTTAGAGCAATTTCTGTCATGAAAATTAGATTTTATAACAATCAAAATTGTAATAGGTTTGACTCTCTGACCGCTGCTAAAAAAGTCAACAGCTGGACGGTTATTCTGACCGAGCTGGTTAAACTAGTCAGGATGGCTGACCAATTAAACACCAACTGGCCTGGAGACTAGTTAAACCAGCTAAAATCAGCTAAAACCACATTCATCCGTCATTTTTTTAAATTATGTTGCTGGATAGAAAAATAAATGCACTTTATTTTCCTCGCACGTTAGAAAAAGCAGACTTTAAGTGTGTTTTTATATTCACATTGTGTGTGTGTGTGAGTGTGTGTGTGTGTGTGTGTGTGTGTGTGTGTGTGTGTGTGTGTGTGAGTGAGTGAGTGTGTGTGTGTGTCTCTGTGTGTGTGAGTTCAAAAAACAAAAACAAAGATAAAACGAAGTAATCCTGCACATTACGCGCACACATCAGGCCTCATTCATGAAACACGCGCGGAATATGAAACGGTGTGTTTGATGAAGGTTTCCGGAGTCTCTCAGATGTTCTTCTTCTTGTTGATGAGCACCGAGCAGCAGGTCAGCGCGCCGTCCACCTTCACTTTCTCCTGATTGGACACCGGAATGAGCATGTGATCCTTCAGCTTCTCAAAGACCTGCAGCAGCAGACGCAGAGTAGACTTTTATTATGCAAATTAATCAGTGATGGTTTTATCAGTAGTGTCAGATGATTCAATTCACGGCATAACGCTGTAAACCTTCAATATAAATGTAAATGCATTAATAAATATAAGTAATATAATATTAAATAAATGACTGAATTACATTTTTCTGAGCACATCATGAAACACATCAACATACATATATACATATATATATATATATATATATATATATATGTATATATGTATGTTGATGTGTTTCATGATGTGCTCAGAAAAATGTAATTCAGTCATTTATTTAATATTATATTACTTATATTTATTAATGCATTTACATTTATATTGAAGGTTTACAGCGTTATGCCGTGAATTGAATCATCTGACACTACTGATAAAACCATCACTGATTAATTTGCATAATAAAAGTCTACTCTGCGTCTGCTGCTGCAGGTCTTTGAGAAGCTGAAGGATCACATGCTCATTCCGGTGTCCAATCAGGAGAAAGTGAAGGC